GTATATAATGCAAAATAATTACCACAATACGTCTAGTTAACATTTGTGACCACACACAGTTATGTTTTTCTCGTGATGAGAACTTTTAAGATCTACTCTCTTCGCAAATTTCAAATATGCGGTAGGTATATTCGTTTTCTGACTTAGTGGAATAAGTGGCTCAGAATCAAAGACTTATGTTTAAACAGTTTCGTTGAAAAAGATTTCTCAGTGCCAGTCAGAGAGAGTCTTCGCGGAAGAAGCCACCCCTGATCAACCTGACCTGGCTCCACGCACGCTGGTGTGGCTTGCAAGTTCGGGTCTGTTTTTAAAACATGTTATCTTTTCTACTTGCACATGCATTACTTTTTAAGTCTTTTGTTGCTTCATTTGCCTTGTCAATATTTACTATCCAAATAGGTTATAATTTTTGCCACAGATTTCTAAGTAGCAGAGTCTTATATGGATACTTACTGGGCATTTGGGGAAGACGCTTCTGGGGAAGAGTCACTCCACTGTTAGAATTTTATTTTTAAGGGATTAGAAAGCTTTTCTTTCAAGAGTCCTTCAATATGGATATTATTTTAGGAGAGAACACTTTTAATTCTTTATTGGATTAGTGATTAACTGGCCATCTGCTGAGAGTAAGACAATGAAAGAATGGTAAACGGGAGTGTTTGGGAGAAAGGAATTAGAAACTCTTAGAGAAAGTGAATAAATGTACTCATCTCTGTGAAATTTGCTGAAGTAACTTAACATTTTTTATGATTTCTGGTGCTAAGTCAATGAAATACAGGAAGATAAAGTTCAAATGCATTTGGACAAGACGTTAATTTATCTTCTCTCTGTCGCTTCCATCAGTTATTTACTTGTCTAGCCTCGTGTTCTTGGATAGTTTTCTGACTATATCTGCCTCATTTCCTCTGTGTAGTGGGTTCTGTTGCTATTCTGAGATCTCTCACATCTTTTGCTTCTTTTTTTCCTCTAGGCAGTCCTTTTGCTTTTCTCTTAGAGAGTCACCGTGATATTCCGGTTAATTTCTGGACCGCGTCTCTTTCTCTACTAGTCTCACACATCCACAACCCTCCAAACTGGATTCATACTCTACTTTCCAATTCTGGACACAGTGAGCTCTTGCCCTAAAATTTCCTGGTTTCCTTTTGCCTTGTAGAATAAGTATAACCTCTCCGAATCGGCCTAAGTGGTCCTCCACAATGCATTAACACTTTTTAACAGGGGTTTCCCCTTTATTACCCTAACGGTAAGGTTTACAGACCATCCTGGGAGCATAATCATGAGGGGTATTACATGTCTGTTAAAAAAACAAAAACAAAAAACTCTTGTGTTTTGGTTAAACTTGATTGTTTAATAATACCTTTTAATGCTATCTGTATTAACATCTCATTTTGATCAGGGTGTAGGAGATATTTATGTCATAAAATGATTCTAAACGAATGGACAGATATACTGTTTTCCTATTTTTGCCTATCAATATCCCACCAGCCCTTCAAAACTCCACTATAAAGCCATCACAGTCATGTCACTCCAAAAAACCCCTTTGCTGTCATGTCCATGTGTCTCCAGCTGCTCTTTAATTTGCTCTAGCACATTGTTTAGCATCATCCATTACACTGTCTTTTCTCTACCACATAGTATAGTAATTTGCATGTATATGTAACACTCTCTTTCTCTACAACTTGAGAACGAACTTCATAAGATACAGAATTTTTTTTTACCTCTCTTCCAGTCCTTGTACCCATGACACATCATTTACTGATCTATACGATCAGTTAATTTCAAGGGTTTGCCATTTGTTTGTTTGTTTATTTTTTGTACGCCCTGCTGTTATTCTTGCTACAGCAGGGCTATTTCTTCAACTGTAATCTTACATGGATATCTGTAAAAGAGGGAAAAGAATAGACTCACTCTGGTTGGCAGCAGAGTGATTGTTATATTTTCCCCAAATATCCTCTTTCTAGCTACCCCTTGCTGACTCTACAGAATACCCATGGCTCTGCTCAATCTGATCTGAAAACTGCAGTATGCAGTTTATATGTCATGGTCAAGCAGGCAGAGGCCTTTTAATATCACCTCATTAGTTTATCTGAAGACTTAACTTTGTGCTTGGAAATCAACTTGTAAGAGAAGAATACACGAAGATGTAAGTGGGCTAGTGCTGAAGTTATGTGTCATACTACTGCATTGTCCTTTTATTGACATTTTTCAATAAAATGCCATCCTGATAAATGCCATCCTTTCTGTTGGAAATATCTAGATAGATATTAAAGAAAAAGAAGTTAAGTGGGGGACACAATAGAGTTAGATGTTTTCAGCAATAAATGGCTTGGAAGGTCATAAAGGTTTCTCCACACTCTCATGCCTTTCAGAAGAAGGGCGCTGAAATATGAGAAGCTGTCATTTTGCAGGCATGCAGGATCCAAGAGCAAGATCGATAGATTGGTTTGGGACACAGTATTCTGTTGTATTCTCAAAGGTTTGGGTCATCACAGCTGGAGGCAGGAGCAGGACTCAGACAAAAGTAACCCAGCTATGAGGGAAGAGCCTGGGTTTGGTAGACCGTGTTTCTATATGTGGGCGAAAGGTTTCTTTGCCTGGCGGAAGAGAAGCGCCTTGACTTCTGATCTGAAGAGGTGCCAAGTCCTGCTCGTCTCTAGAACTATTGCAATTCAATTATTAAGGGCAAAGACTACCCCTAATTTAAAGGGATATTTTGGAAAAAGAAGAGAAATGGAAAACGAGGTAAGAGAAAAATATGAGATGTTTGCTCTTGGGGTCTACTCTACCAAATAGAGTATTTTATTATTTATTTATTTTTAATAATTTTTCTTTATTGACTTTAGAGGGAGAAGGAGAGAGAGAGACATTGATGAGAGAGAACATCAACTGGCTGTCTCCTACATGCCCCACACTGGGGACCAGGCCCACAACATGGGTGTGTGCCCTGGTCAGGAATTGAACTGGCAACCTCTTGGTGCATAGGTTGATGCTCAACCACTGAGCCACACCAGCCGGGCCAAACAGAATATTTTAATAGCAGCTCATCCTCCACAAACTGTGTCTTTTACTCACTTTTCCTCTTCGTGTTTTTCCTTCCCTCCCTCTTTCTCTGCCTTCTTCTTTATTCCCTTTTCTATCTACCTTTTTATTTCATCTCTATCAGGACGTTGGATAGAATGTTTCCTATTGTCTGTCATTTAGGAATTCCTGCTAAACCCCTAAAGCTGCTGCAAAGCAGCCTGGTGATACTGTTGCTTTCTAAGGAGAGCAAGCAAGAGATAGGCCCTCATCCCAGGTTGTCTAGAGGCAGTTGAACAACCTAAGCTGCCCTAATCCAGTCACCCTCTCCAATCTCATTACATCGAAGATTAAGTACATGAGGAGGGTGCTGTGATTCAGTGGCCGAGAGGGGAATGTTTATAAAGCCAACGCTCTAAGATAATTATGAACAGAGATAATGGCTCTTTGGATCAAGAAACAGAGAATGGCATTTTGTTTCTCAGGATGATGTCTGCTAATGAATCTAGTTCGCTGCCCCATTCTCTGTCTGTGTGAAGAGGTGGAGGAAAGAATTGTTAAGAGACCCCGGGAAAGGGTCAGAAGCAATCCAGTATTATTGGCACTCAGTGTTTAGAGTGCTTATGAGGCCTGAGTTTCCTGTGGGTCAGCTGGTAGATAGCTGACCTTGAGCCAGTTTTCTACAGTAGGGCGCTTTTGGAACCAGGGAGCAACAGAAGAGGCTGTGGAGAATACTGCACATGTCAGAACGGTGGGGTGGAGAGAAGAATTGAGCCAGAGCATTTCCCTGATACAGAAACCATGGAGTGGGGTGTGCCCATCTGTGGATGTCCTGGAAAATCACAAGAAAGATGCTCACCACTCAGAGGGAATTCAAGGTTAGTCCCTGTCAGCAACGAGAAGACTACGAAAGCACCACAGAAGTCAGTGATGTCAAACTTTTTCATCTTTTTTCATTCTCTGTCCCAACCAGCATAGCTGGAGGACATGAGATTTGGAAGAGGGAGGGAGGAGAAAGCTTGCAGAAATAGATGCTATCTACTTTCCCTGTGAGGTTCCTGAGCCGTAACAGGGGAGAGAAGAACACTGAAGGGGTTGAATATGGAATGGAGGTGAAACTTGTCTGGACTGGATTGTTTAGACCCAGAGTGATGAAAACAAATGGTATGTGTCCAAGATGGTACTGAGAAGATAGGAATTCAGTAGAGCATGATTGAAGACAGCCATTAGAGGATAAGGCCACTTCCTGTCTGTATCTGCCATGGTCTGGATGTTTGTGTTACCCCAGAATTCATATGTTGATACCTTAATGCCAAAAGTTGATGGTACTAGTAGGTGGGGCTTTGGGAAAGTGGTCAAGTTAGGAGGTTTGGCCCTCATGAATGGAATTAGTGCTCTTACCAAAGAGACCCACAGAACTCTCTAGCTCCTTCTGCCATATGAGGGTACAAGGAGAACTCTCTGACCCTAAAGAGATCCCTCACCCAACTTGTATTCCAAATTCCGGAACTGTGAGAACTAAATTTCTGTTGTTTATAAGTGATCCAGTCTGTGGTATTAGTCTGAATAGACTAAGACAGTATCTTAATAATTTGAGAATGTTTAGTAAATGCCATACTGCTTGGATGCATTATAGTTTCATAGGACTTAAATAGTCTGTCATAATACTGTGAAAGTTTGCTGCTAGGATATGGCTGGATTTTATAAAGAATCCCGAGAATTCAATTTTCTTGTTGTTATGACCAGTATGATTAATAATTATCAAATTCTTTGATTATAATACCTTGACCCACAATGCTCTACTGTGATCCTAAAGTAAGCTGTTCATTGTCATACTTGTAATGCTAGCTTCTATTATTTGTGACAATTTTTAATAGGAACTTCTTAACGGTCGTGATGAGTTTTCTTTTGATTTTTCTACTAAATGAAGACAAGAAATTTTGACAAACTGCTTTTTTAGATTTAAATATCTCTAAGAAGTCAGTTTTTATTTTTTAAGACAAGACCCATTACACCAAGCCTGCATTAAAATGCTATAAAACTAAAAGGAGCTTGCTATGGGATGGATCATTAAGAACCATCTCAGAGACAGATGGAATAGATGTGAGCTTAGCAGTTGTTATCGTAGATCATTCGGCACTTCAGGACCTTGAGATAGTTGTCAACCTTGTTCGAATCCCTGCGCAGGCAATGGAGCAGGTTGTAAAAAGCAGAAAGGCGAGTGTCCTCATCTGCCATCTGCAGAGATGGAAGTCCGAACCAGGCAGAGTGGACCTCATTTTCTTTGACTTCAGGTTGGACCTAAGAACCAAAAAGATATTATTGGTATTATTAGTATTTGCTTATCTTTGTTCTTTCTAATTGTTGAGTTAAGATTTGTGGAAGAGACATGAATGTAAAACTCTCCAGACAGTGGCATGGATTATTGAGCCAGTGTATCAGAAATCTATTTATAATTAAAAAAAATAGAAGTAGAACTTAAGTGTAAGTTTTTTTTCCACATGTATGTGATCACAGATGAAGTATACTTGTGCAGGAGTAGCTAGATGGAGAACTGGAAAGTTGCTATCTGAATGTCGACATGAATGGGACACATGGACAAGGAGGAGCTGGTCTCTGTTCTCTCACTTGAGGGACGCTGTCATTTTCTGACTCTTGTCTCTGACACGCACTGTGCACTTTATTTCCTCTAAGGTGTCACAATAATTACATTGATTTTTTTTCTGCTTTGAACAGATTCTATTCTCCATGGAGTATACGTACCAGAGACATAAACGATGAGAATTATACTTGATGTTTTAAGGCACAGATGATCTACTGATGACTAAGACTGAGATGAAGTGGTCAGGGGACTTCCAAATCCATCCAGGACAGATAACCCCCAATGTTTTATGAGGAATAACTGCTTTCTTTTGAGGTCTATAGGGTGGGAGTTTCTGGGGAAAGTGCCTATAAGAAAAGGGGTATTGGCAGCAGCCCACCAGTTGCGAGGGAGGGTGGTGGGTGGGAGCACAACTGTGATAGCAAAAGGCCACTGAGCAATATGAAGGAGGAGCACATGCTACTCGGTGCTCTCTCAGCCTCGACTGGGTGTCCCCGGGGACAGAAGGGGCCTGGTCACAGCTTGGCAATTTGGGCTGTCAGCTGGTTTGGAGAGCTAGGAGGGACACATGTCGAGTGACTATAGGTTCTGATCATTAAACTAACTTTCTCCTGTACAGGAAAATATTTTTTTAAACTTTGGATTCCTATTGAAATTTAAAGTAAGTGTGTGTATATGTATGTTGGTTTGCTTTTTTTCTGGGTGCTTGACCCCTATTACAAAACAGGGACAATGATATAAACAAGAATAAATCAATATAAGGTAAAAAGAACAAAAAAGGAGGTATTATTGTACAAATTAGTGACCTCAGAAAGTCAGCCCATAATATTGAAAATCACTTGAAAATCTAGGCATTTATTTATGTTCCAAGGTTAAAATGTGCTTTGTATTTGTGTTGGATATGTTTTCCTATGAAAATGACTAAATGACACATGATAACATGTATTTTGTACACAGTAAGAAACACATAAAATTGCTCCTGTTATTATTTCTATAATCACATATTTTTCTTTAGAGGATACATTCTTTCTGAGAACTTCAGAAAGCTGTTTAGGTGTTACCTCACTCATGTTGAAATGATCCCATCTACATGGAGATATATATTGCAAATATCACCTCAATATAAATATGACAAATTACTTGGGGAGATTAAATGCAATGTATGAGTTTCATTTTTGAAGCCCCTCCCCCCAAATGAGATTTAGGATGGCATACCTCTCTATAAATTATAAAATAAAGAACATTTCAGAAAAGATATACCCCCTTCTTTTAACCCACTGAAATCTAGTGGTTGTTGAGAGAGCATCAATGCCATGGCCTCATCTTTTCTATCTCCTTCCTTCCCTGACATTATGTCTAGCAGAAGGGAGTTGGGATAAACCACATCCAATCTGATTTTGATTTTCTTTTTCCTCCATTCCCTCTCATGCTCTGGTGTGGGGAGCAAAAAGAAAATGAGCAGAATTTCAATAACAGGTGTCCTAGACTACTTTCAGGAAAGTATTTACCTTGCAGATTCTATTCTCCAGGTTCTTTCCCGTGACATTATTTTAACTGCCTGTCCCCAAGAAGAGCCTAGGCTTGGATGGATTCGTGTGCAGTGCGGGGAAGTGTACCTGTCAAATATGACAGTGGAATTCAAAGGCCATTAAGGGTAGAACCTATTACTATGAATTACTTGGCTCTTGCTTTATTTAATAGCAGTGTAGAAGATAGCATGCCTAAATTTTGTTCTTACCAAGTGAGGTATTTCAAAACTCACCCCTCTTCACAGAGTCAACTCTTTCCTTAACAAGGAAAACAGAGAAGTGTCAGGAGGCTGCTCACCTGGCCGATGATCTTCTCCATGCCCTCGAGAAGTTGTTTGTTACGTTCCTCGATCTCTACAGCTCTTGATATGATGGCAACTGGGGCTTGTTGGATACCACGCACTTCGTTGGCCAGATGATTCAGAGGGTCGTTCCAGGAGCGCAGCACTGTGAGGACCAGCTGCAGAAGGTCTTTGTGCTAAGCAACCATGAAAATAATCGCAGTGCAGTGGGTTACCGGTGATGTTTGCCCAGAGAGGCTGACCTAGATATCTCTTACACGTATGCAAAGTTGTTGGTCAGTGGTACAGGTTGTAAACACATAAAATTTAAGCTAGTGGCTTACACTTGGATAACGTTTTTTAAAAATCTGGCTTATTTAATTAGCTACTTCTTTTAATGAACGTTCTAATTTATAACATGAAGAAATTTTTTCCTTCTGAAATGCTACCATTTGCCCGCACAGAGAATTCTTTTGCATCGGACTGCTGGGCTTGTCCCCGGGAGAAGCCAGAGTTTTGCTGGCACTCCCTTTGTGCACTTCCCGAGTCAGGAAAGGTAGATCCCACAGCGTCAATGACGAAGAGCCCAAATCTTTTCATTTCAAGATTCATTCACATTAACAAATGAAATCATTCACGAGTGCACTGATTTGTGACTTGTGGTTTTATTTTTACAAAATTAGAACAGAGACCGTGAAGAAGACACGGTCTTCAGAAACATGCTCTCCTCACACCACACCAACTTCTGCTCCCGTGCTGCCCGCAGAGCTCTGTACCGACCCACATGTTCAGAGAATAAAAGGGCTCAATGCTCTGCAGCTTTAACAACAGCACTAAAGGAATCCACAGAGATCGTTTTTCCTGCTAGTGAACTATTACCAAGATGGGGCATGAAATTCCAGAGATCCGATCACCTCTGATTTAAAACGTGTGCTTTCCTGATGTCCACTTACAAGGGTAGTGGAAGGGAAATGAAGAGTAGAGGAGAATCGAATAGACACTGCAATCGACACATGTTCTGGGATATGAAAGAAAGGAACTGGAAAGAGGTACGAGCCGTACAGTGGATGGCAGTGCCGTTTTGTTAGGGACATTGTAGAGAGAGGGTTTTGAACTGGAGGAAGCCCAGACTCACTGTTTACTACCCATGTAACGGGGGGAATTTCCACCAGCTCTCCAAGCCGCGGTTTCCTTGTCTCAGGAAGTGCAACAGCACCGTGTGTTACAGGATTTTATGTGAGAATTGAAAAAGGAATGATCCTAAAGTACTTTGTAAGGTGTCTGGCAATGGAGCAGCTACCAAAAAATTGTAACTCCTCTTCTTCCTCCTTTTTCATCTTCTTCCTTTAGTTAGTTAATTAGTATCTTTATCCTCATTATAACTATTATTAATGAGTTTAGCAGACAGAGAGAATGCCGGTGTCATTAACGAAGTTGTAAGGAAAGAACACATTGTATTTACAGGGCTATCTGTGTGATGATGCTTCATTTCAATCATGTTAACTGTGGTTATGGCAGGAAATCAGAAGGGAGATAATAATAATAATAATAAATGATTGCAATAAATGATTGGGGCTTGATATGCAGACTTTGCTGTCAGCAGAAAAGAGGCGAAAGTCATGAGAAGAAAAACATTATTTTACAGGACCTGTTTTGCGGGGAGACTTACTATTAAGAAGTAAGAGATGGCAGAGGAGTGAGTGAAGAATGGAGAAAGGAAGAAGGAAGTAGGTGTCAGAGAAGGATAATCTGAGGGACAGCCTTAAAAATCCAGAAGCGACGGCTCAGGTGCAGTGGTCAGAAATGAGAAATGCTGTCCTGGTAGGAGACCCCTGTCATAAATCAAACTGCATTTGTATTTCTTACATTTCCATGAATTTTTCACATGGAAGTCCATTTTGGCTACCACTTTCATGTAGTAGAATATATGCAGTCCTGGGTCTAGGCATTAGTTAACATCATATCTGCATGACCCATTTATAGATCTGTTATTTGTTTTCCTGCTACAAGATTTAGTCAGCATTTGATTTTACCGATAATTCACCAACTATATAACATAACTTCTTTTTGATTGTGTTTTCTTCCCCCTCCTTGCTCGGCAAGTGGTTACCTATTATAATGCCTCTCATCATCTACAGCATGGAAATACCAGTGTGCTGTCTCAGTGGTGTTGGTGAGAAACTAAGATAAAAGACTCACGTTGATCCGTTGGGCTTGCTCCTTGTTTCCAGGGGTAGGGAGTGAAGCAGTGTGGCAGCTGTTGAAGGCCCTGGTGATGTACCCTTTGCCCTGGGCATATTGTTTATCCTGAAATCGATAGAACAAATTCAGTTAGGGTTATTTGGACATTGAGTCAATGAACCCACTACCAAAATATTACCACATTTGATAGATGTATAATTTTTTTTTAAATGAGGGCCACATAAAAATTAAAACTAAAGAATCGAGAAAGTTCCCTTTCCCCCTACCTTTTCTTTCCATCATCTCTGCAAACACATTTTTTTTTTCCATCTAACTTTTCTAAATTCTAAACTCTTCCCTTCTTTGCTACTCTCTTAATTTTATCCTTCCTATGAGTAACTATCTGGAAAGCAAACACTAACAATGTTTAAAAAGTATGAAATATTAAATGTTTATTAAGAATCATTTTTAATACTTGGACTAAATGTATATGTACCTATATTTAACCATTTAATCTCTTGATTATGTGGGACTGAATGGGTATACTCCTTTAATAGGCATTATAAGATTATAACTTCTTTGACTAACCTGTGAATCCATACAACTATACCATCATCATCGCAGATGCAGAATACAATATCTTCATCATGACAAAATGATAAGTCAGAAAAACAGAAAATATTAAGCAATGGACTGAGACTAAGAATACAAAAGTCTATAGCTAACACACTGAGAGAGAAAAACGAATCGTTAACAAGCACTGTGGAAATTTAAAGATATTACTAGGAAGCTCTGGAAGACAAAAGATGGCCAGTCAAAAATGTAGGATGAAAGAAAAATGAATGTGTAAAAAGAACTATATAAGTGCACATTTATTACAAATGTTAAGCCACATTCTTTATAGAGATGCGTTGATTTATTGACGTTCTAATCCATTGTCTGATCTCTGATTGACCTAAAAGAGTTAACATACAACTTCTACAGTGCCTTAATCAGAAAGAGAATAACTGTTTCCAGTTCCAAAAGAATACTTCTATTGTAGTTCTAAACCTATGTGCTGGAAATCTTAGGACAATAATTCGTAGCATTTTCTAGTTTCAGAAAAGCTAGTTATTATCACTGTTTCTTTTTCTAACATGCATTCAGCTTAGTTTAACTTTGTCCAGTCCACCCGATTCATTGCAGTGCAATCCTCATTTATTAGATACTTGCAGTGCTCTGGGTGAAGAATGATGCCTTGGGAGTCATGTACCCTACATGCAAGGACAAGAAATCATCATCCTTCCATTTCTTCCGCCCTACGTAAAAGTGTTTATGTCAGGTGTCTGTGTTGCCCCCCCCCCCCACCCAATTCATACATTGAAGCCCCAACCTCTAATGTACTATGTTTGGAAATAGGGTCTTTATGGAGGTAATTAAGGTTACATGGGGTCATAAGGGTGGAGCCCTGATCAGAATGATTATTGTCCTTATAAGAACAGACACGAGATTCCTTTCACTCTTATTCTCCTTTGCTCTCTCTGTCCCTCCTCCATCTCCCCTGCCCCCTTGTAAGGAGCCAGGAAGAAAGCAAGCTGGGAAGAAGAAAACTCTTATTAGAACCTGCTCATTCTGGTACTTTGATCTCACAACCCCCACAACTGTGAGAAAATTTCCATCGTTTAAGCTACCCAGTCTATATGAATTGTGTATAGCAGCCCAAGCTGACTAATATAGTTGCTTAACATTTTTTGGAAATTTTAGAAAACAAAGTGAATGAAAGGAAATTAAAAAAAAATTATTACACTCTTTACACAGCTTTGGGATTTCGTGAAACTGTCCCTTTCTTCCTGTTCCACATGTCATTTACTTATGCCTTCTTTTTTTTTTTTTAATCCTCACCCGAGGACATTTTTTTTTTTTTTGATATTTTTTGTTCAGATAGAGTGGGAGGGGGGGGGGAGAGAGAGAGAGAGAGAGAGAGAGAGAGAGAGAGAGAGAGAGACATCGACGTGAAAGGGACACATCGAGTGGTTGCCACCCGTACAACCCAACCAGGGCCGGGGACAAACTGCAACCGAGGTACAAGCCCTTAGAGGGAACCGAACCCGGGTCTCTCCAGACTGCAGGCCAACACTCTAACCACTGAGCCAAACCGGCCAGGGCTACTTATGCCTTCTTTGACCTATAAGATGAATGATTTGAAATTTGGCTTATCTGGCTTTCTTGTTTCAAGTGTGATACAGCTTAGTCTGTCACATGAAGGTTCCTTCTGGGAAGAAGCAAGAAGTGTGGTACTTACAAACTCGCTGAACATTTCCGTGGAGAGGTTATGGATGTAGTTTGACAGGATGACTGCACGGTCAAACAGGTCTCGGAGGGGCACTTGGCAGGGGATAGTCCTGCTGGGACAGATGGGCAGGGAGGCCACGTTTCTGAACAGGAGCAGGTTGGACACCAGCAGCAGCAGGAGCAGGAGTGACCCTGCTTAAACAGAAACAGGAGCTGTGCTCAGATGATCTGTTCAGCGGAGGTTATCAGCAGTCACCCTGTGGAGGACAGCCTTATCTCTCCACATGGCCCTCAGCAGGATTTGGTACTGTAATAGCTGGGCTGGGGAAGAACAGACACTTTCCACTGTGTAAATTTAGATATATAATTATATTTGCAGAGGTATATAGTTGGAGAAGTAGGTTAGTCCCTGCATGTTTGTACTGCTCCCTGAGGTGCTTCTATAACTTGCAAACATTTGGAGCTTAAATTAATTCTGAGCCAGAGTGCTCAGGTCATTCTCGTAAGATCGTTTAGTGTCTTGGGAGTTTCTGCAGATTTCCAGCAGCCTGGCTCTCTTGGAGTTTGTAATTTTTTAACACTCTGTTGACTAATACTTGTATTTTGGACTCAGAAATGGCAAGGACAGCACAGTTGATCTGTTTGTTTCCCCTTCCTTTTTTATCCTCGCCCGAGGACATTTTTGCACAATCTTCAGATAGAGCAGGAGGGAGAGAAAGAGAAAAATCAATGTGAGAGAGACACATTGAATGGTTGCCACCCACACGACCCTAACCGGGGCCGTGGACAAACTGCAACCAAGGTACATGCCCTTAGCAGGAATCGGATCCAGGACTCCCCGGTCCATGGGCCGACGCTCCAACAGCTGAGCCAAACCGGCCAGGGCTGTTTCCCCTTCTTGACTGATTAGAATAAATGCATGCCTGACTGATTGCTAATATTGAATATGAAGAGAATTCTAACATAAAAAATGATGCTGTAACCTAGATCTGCCAACTCACCTTAATAACCCCATGCAGCTGCTTGACACTTTGCCAAAAGTCTTAACATTTAAAAAATTGTTTCACAATAGCCCGTTGAGATAGCCTCAGCCTTCATTATTATCATCCAATTATACTGATAAACCAAGAGCCTTAGAGAGGTTAAGGAATTCTCCCTAAGTCCCCGTATGAGCAGGTAGTGGAAGCTGAAGGCCAATACTGTCATCCTTTCACTTCCTCGGGCCCCACCATCACACTCCTGCGTGCTCTCGGTCTGCATTTCCGTGACAGGCCCCAGAACCCGCAGCCGTGACGGTTCAGTGCTTCCAGAGGCCATTGCCGTTACATGGAAAGTGCAGGACTTGACCTGTGATTGCACGATAACAGTGGCCCTAGGGAAGTGTTTTTAAATCAATTTTTTCCTGCTGCATCAATAAAACACCCACTTTAAAAATCCTTGACAATTGCTTGGTGGGTGTGGCTCAGTGGATTGAGCATTATCCTATGGACTGAGACGTTCCAGTTCGATTCCTGGTCAGGGCACGTACCCAGGTTGTGGGCCTGATCCCCAGTGGGGGGCATGCAGGAGGCAGCCAATCGATGTTCTCTCTCATCGATGTTTCTATCTCTCTCCCTCTCCCTTCCTCTCTATCTAAAAAAATCAATAAAAAAATATTTTAGCCCTTGCCGGTTTGGCTCAGTGGTTAGAGCGTTAGCCTGTGGTCCAGAGAGACCCGGGTTTGGTTCCCGCTAAGGACACGTGCCTCGGTTGCTGTTTGTCCCTGGCCCCGGTTGGGTCGTGCAGGTGGCAGCCACTCCATATGTCCCTTTCATGTCAATGTTTCTCTCTCTCTCTCTTCCTCTCTCTCCCTCCCACTCTATCTGTACAAAAAATGAAAAAAATGTCCTTGGGTGAGGAAAAAAAATTTAAAAAAAGACTAGATTTGAAAAAATAAAAAGTAAAAGAAATCCTTAACAATTATTAGAGATGATTTAGTCATCAATTTGTGATCTCAACTGATGGATGGATGTGGATCTCTAATATAGCAATAATGTACACTTTCAAAAGGAAAGAAACAATATATTAAAACTGCTTTTTAACATCAAAATGCTGCAAAAAAAATGCCTGATATTAAAATGTATTGGTCAGAAAACTAAATTTTTAAAGAATCTTCAATAAATGTAATTGGAAGTGTCTGAGATAAAACTAAGCAAGTGCTAAAGATTTCTGTGTGAAAAAAATATCTAAACCTAAACACCTAAAATAATATAAAAATATTTAGTATAGAATGTTACTAAATAACTTGTAGCTGCAAAATAAAAATGTTAATGTTATGAGATGATATATATAATAGACTTCTAATTTTTTAGAAACATATTTCCAAAAAGTTTATTTTCTGTACATTATAGTCACGAAATGTAGCTGCATAGATATTTTATCTACAGATATAATTGGAATATTGGTTCTAGGAAATTCATAACCGAATAGATATTCTTGAACTCTGGCTACATTTATCTGTGCATTTATCATGTGAAGAATTTTTACAGTCTAAGATAACATAAAATTGATAAATATTTTGTTCGTTATTTCATATAAATTTTATGATTGTACTAATTTCTTTTTCTTGCAAATGTCAACCAAGAAAGTAAAGGTGATTAGTTGTGACTAGCTTGTCTTTCCTGTTGAAATGTCATTTGGTTTAAACCCAAACAACAAAGTATGAGAAACAATTTTGCTATCATTATCTGCATCATGGCTTCAGAATTCGAATTTTATCAGGTTAATTCATCTTGGCCAAATAACGTAAGAGGCCTGGGAAGCATAAAATGTTAGTCTCTGCCTTCTGCAGTTGTGATAAATTGGACCTAAAGACACTTTCAGTCTTACTCCAGGCCCGCATTCCTCAGCTTGGCATTTTGAGCTGGAAGATTCCTCGTTCTAGGGCTCTCCTGTGCCGTGTAGTATATTTAGCAGCATCTCTGACCTCTTCCACTCCCACACCCACCCTCCATTAAGACAACCAAGAATATCTCCAGACATTCATGATTTGTCTCTGGACGAAGAAGGGTTCCTCCATTTGAGAACCACTGGTCTGTTCTATTGTGCCCTTGTACAATTGCTTTTTGGAGCAGCGATTAGAATAATTTTCTAAAGTCTGTAAGCCTGAAACCTCTTCCTAAGAGAATCTTAGCTAACACTTTAGATTAGTATCCCCAAAGGAGTGTGGATAAAGCCAATAACTCAGTGAGTTGTACATACCTCTCCGCGGCAACTCTTTGCTGTCCATGTGGGGATGATGTCAGGAAACACCCTTCTCCAGAAAAGGTCTGGTAGTCTTACAGCTTTCTCTTGCCCAGACACCGGCTTTATAAGCCTATGACACCTTTATGAATATGAATATATTGATTACATATTTGCTTCCCTTTTACAGTCATCTACTTCCGTCATTGAGATTTCCCCATAATTTCAAACATCAGGTGGCATTTTATTTGTTATTCATATTCAGAAAGACATACTGACCAGAAATGAACATTCTAAGAAGGATTTTGATTAATTAGACCAAAAGGAAATGAGAAAAATAATGAAGGTAAAACCTGGAAGCTAGTTTGGGTTAGAGAACCTGTAAAACTCAAGAAGTCATTTACTTTGAAATTTACGTTTATTTTTCTGCAGTTTCTGGAATATAACATTTTATTTCACTTAGGTGTCTCATGTATTATCAAAGGGTATTCTTTTTTTTATTCAAATTTTCTGGGTGAAGTCAAGTTTTCAAAACTTACACACGAAATACCAGGAGAAATATAAAGATTGAGAAAAGAGGATTTTCAGTTTCTTGTTATACTGTTATTCCATTTCCCTCACTTTTTTTCTGGTTTTACACATTATTTTGCCATTTTTTTTAAGTGGCATATTATGTCTGGCATTTTGTTTGGAAATGTACATTTTTATTTGCTTATCTCTTTTGATTTTACCATAAATGTAAATTTATATTATCACCCCCAGTTTACAGATTAAAAAATGGAGGCTAGGAGAGATTGAATGTCAAGAATCCAGAAGTCATTAGTCAAGCTAGATGCTGGGAGAATTGTTGCTTCAAGAGGAATCAGGAGGGTTGTGAAAGAACCCTCAGTTAACAAACATCGCTGTGTACCCATATCAAAGATGATCAAGAAATCATTCCTGACCTGAGGGAGTTTGTTTTGGGGAAGTGACTTGGCAGGTTTCAAGGGCAAACACACGCATAATCACGTCCTAGCATATGATGTAGTAAAACAAAAATCTAGGCACTTATTGCCATGTTCCTCAAGGATAGGGGTAGGTAAACTGTTATTAGCATATGCTCACTTTATTTCTCTGACCTTGAGCTACTCTGGGGCAAAAGTGACAAAATTTAATCATTGATGGGCTCAAAAGTTTCATTTGCCTTTTAGACATTTCCTAAATGAAATGATTATCATGAATACGAACTAAGTTGTTGACGACTTTCTCCAAATTAAGTCCCTGCATCTAAAGCAGCCTGTGACCTTTAATTTCAATTTTACCATATGTCTCTTACAGTAAATTGACAGATGAGGTAATTTAAAAAATAATCCCTTTCTATGGCAGTTGCTTTTTCTACAGTTGCTACTGCCTCGTTAGTAACTTCCGCAACGATTGGACTAAGTGCTCTTAGGGGGGCTTAGAAAACTTAACGAAGGCTAACATCACTTAAAAACTATCTTCCTAATTTCCTTAGTTGAAGCAACATCAGATTTTGAATTCTACATACCGGGTGTGATGATTTACAGTTTCTAACAATCTAAAGCTGGGTCAGGATTCTACACACCCAGCCTAGGTTTCCAATTTTTCTTCTGGACAGTGAAAGTCTGAATTATTATTATTTTTTTAATCCTCATCCGAGGATATTTTTCTGTTTATCTTCAGAGAGAGGGGGAGAGAGGAAGAGAGAGGGACATATTGACTGGTTGCCTCTTGCACTACCCCGACTAGGGCGGGGACAAACCGCAACCAAGGTATGTGTCCTTGACCAAATCAAGCCCGAGACTCTGGTCCTCGGGCCAACACCCTAACCACTGAGCCAAACCAGCCAGGGTGAAAGTCTGAATTAGTAAGAGAGCAGTGCTTGCTCTGTGTAGAGAAATTAATGCTGCCCTACACCCCCTATAAATTTAAGAGTAGGGAAATCTGTCATAAGAACTGACAACTTAATCTTAAAATTTAAAGGTGTTGCAGCTTTTGTAGAGAGCTGGGAAAAGAGTAATCTAAGAAAACCTGAGTTGTGTTTATTCATTGGAGGCCAATTGATTTATTTACCTCCACAGAGACGTGTTTTCTCTGTGAAATTTCTTTGCTGCTTCACAGCCCTACATCCCCCTTAAGGGGATATTGCAATATCCAAACAATGCAAAAGCATATGCTATGCAAAAAGTCATAATTGTCCTATTTTGTCTGCTATATATGTCACCCACTTTGCACCTTAGTTCTGTATGTGCTCTGTTGTAGATCTTTCCCCAACCCTGCCCTTAATTTAGAGCAATAAAGAAATTTACTAAGATTGGACTTGTCTCTTTTTATTTAAAAACGTCCACTTGTTTGCCATTTTTGGTCTAAAGGTTTAGGATTAAACTCGGAGTTGGTGATCAATTACTGTCAAATAGCTAAATAAATAGCTCAAATGCCCTTAAAGCTCTGTGATATTTTTAGCATCTAAAACTAATAAATAATCTTTCCACCTTTTCTAAATGACTCTAATTTTTAACGTTAAGTAACATCAAGTTGGTTTTTATTCCTAATTAGATATGAAGCTTGCAGTTGCTTTAAATTTTCTTTTGCTTCTCTATTTTTAAGTTTGGAGTGATGTTGTTCTTTCTTCTTTCGTTGATGCAAAAATACTTAAAATGCTTCCCATAGTGAAAGGTGTCTGCTGCAAGATACATGGAGAATATTAAAGAGCACAAGGTAGTAAGAGGTTGAAAAATCATCAGACTAGGTCGCAAGGATGTTTCTGTCTATCTCAGTAACAAATTACCTTTAATAAAGTAAAATTTGCAAATGATGAAAAGTGTATTCTTTATGAATTTAAAAATTCAAAATAACCATCTTCCAAAAGTTGGACTTAAAGACAAGATAGGATATATATTGTTTTCCAAATAAAATACCGGAAAATGTCAAAGGAGCATTGAAAAAAGGATCAATCACAGTTTTGATTTCTTAAATTGCATTGTTGTCAGGATAAGCAAAGTAACGGGTTAATTGCTTCCTACTATTCACATTAACTTTGTGCATATTAAGACATACATTTCGCCCCCTGCATGCCTGTGTTTAATGTTATCTCT